TCCTAAGCTACAGTAAACAATTACCAAACATAATAATAGTAATAAAAGCCTTGAATTTAGCCCTGTATATCTGTGTGTGTTTTTGGCAAAGGCCTCCTCTAAATCCTGCCATTTCTGTCTGCACTGTGCCACTCTCTGCCATGTACCAACACTGTTTTTTAACCTGCATAACTGTTTTAAGCTTTGTTACTTCCTAAATTTTTTACAGATATGATATATAAGTACTATTAGTATCTATGTCTTCAAGGCTCATGTGTTGGTTGAGTTGGGTTCAATCTATGTGTTGTGCAGTGTTGGCCTAGTTGCTTCAGCGTGCGACTCTCATCCCTGGGGTCATAGGTTCGATCGACTTTCTGTCTTAATTCCCATTAAATACTCGCTCGTACGGTGAAGGAAAACGCCGTGAGGAAACTGGCATGCCTTAGACTTAAAAAGTCGACGGTGCGTGTCAGACACACCTACTTGCCTATTAGAAATGATCGCGGAACAGATGCAGAAATCTGAGGCCCAGACCTAAAAGGTGATAGCACCATTGGTATCTTTATATATATAATTATTCTGTGAGTGTGTATGTCACTGAACTTCTCTCAAACGACTGGACCGATTTTGATGAAATTTTTTGTGTGTGTTCAAGGGGATCTGGGAATGGTTTAGATTCACAAATCAGCCCGGCAGATGGCACTGCAGTCGGTACTTTCATACTTTGCTTAATATCCTAATCGCTTTAAATATCATGCAGGACAACGTCTGTGGGGTCCACTAGTATACATATAAATATATACTATATGTTCATGGCACGTAAGCTACGTTTCAAATAACAACATAAACTTTTAAAGAAAAAACTTTTTAACCGGATTAAAGTTATGTATTATTATAATTTTAAATTTATCCGACGTTTCGCGTGCTTTACAGCGTGCGTGTTATAATAATACATAACTTTAATCCGGTTAAAAAGTTTTTTATTTAAATGTGTAAAGGTTATGTCAATAAAAGACAATAAAATAAACTTTTTTCTATTAGAATCAATACAATAATTCAAGTTTATTTAATTATTGAAATTCCTATGACTTACATAACTTATTGATAGATACTTCTGTCGTAATCGTTCTTTGTCTAATACTTGAGAAATGTTTATGTAACACATTCCTACTGATTATCTAATTTAAGTCCAATGACTCCCCTGAATGATTATTTTATTAAAGATAATATCGTCTTTAATATACGAGGGTGTCAGATTAAAATAAAACTTCTCGAACAGATATAAATGCGACCATTTAGATTGTCAAAACTCGACGCGTTATACTGTCCACAATTGCTCAAAAACACACGAAACGTCATGTAAATAATTATTAACGTCATGTTATAAAATAAGTTTTATTTCTACTAATACGAGTATGACTACAACATGAAAGATATAAACTAAACATTCACTAAATTTTCATGTAAATATACATACTAAATATAGATAAAACAGCTTCATTGATGCCTTGTGACTTCTAATAGCGGTTTTTGCATGTAACATTTTTGTATGCAAGTACTATGTGGTTATCTAAGAGCTATCCGCAGAGCTGTTATCGCTACGTCGAAGGCAGGATTGCAATCGCTATAGCTCCTGAAAATTACAGAAAATCGGCGCTGCAATTAATGCAATTGTCACTAACGCAAACATCCTGATGCTGGTGGGGTTTGCCAGCATAGGTTGGAACACGGTGTTAAAACACTGTAATGACATAAGGAAATTATACTATTAATCTCTTTCCGTGTTACATTAACGATATTAAAAGTAAAAGTATTCTCTGAAATTTTCCGCTCAGCAGGCGAAAACTAATATACGGCAAAAATATATGTCTTTCCTCCAACTATGTTGTTCCCTTGGAGTAGTGTGAGACTCTTGTGTCGTAGGGTTCAAGTGCAGAATTGCTAATTAAAGGTTTAGTTGGGGGCTGGTAGAATGTACCCCAGAGCTGGTGCTTTCTTCGCTCAACGAATAAGTAGGTATTACAATACAGCAAGGAAATGCTACCAGTATTAAAGGTACACTGCCACAGAAACCAAACTTAATAAATTTATTTTAGTTTTCTATGTATCCATATTTTATAATTACTGTTGTCGGTTAAGAATATTGTAAATACTCTAAATTTCTCGGTAATGACGATTGCCATAGTCACAACTGAACTCGAAACTAAATGTAACCGTAATGTTCTGTAAAGGACAAAAATACTCCATATATTCATAGACAGTTTGGAAATGTGACTATTTTCTATAAATAATTTGGAGGCTGCTCCGACAGCTAGCTTTAAAGTATGGAAACAGATCACGGCGCGGGCGCAGGCAAATTAATGTTAAATCCCACAAACTATACAGCATTGACATTATTTTACTAATCGCAACGATGTTACTGCCCTGTTAAATATAAAAATACAGATGCGTACAAAGGCTTTTTGATTCATTTTAACCTAATATGCCTTCCAGCGCGAAAGGTTTAGTTATTTTACATTATTAGTACACTTTACAGTCATTACTACTAAAAACCGTATAGAAAAATGACGACAATCAGTTTTATAAAAACTTTACTACCAATAAGCAATGTTGGCCTAGTGGCTTCAGCGTGCGACTCTCATCCCTGAGGTCGTAGGTTCGATACCCAGCTGTGCACCTATGGACTTTCTTTCTATGTGCGCATTTAACATTCGCTCGAACGGCGAAGGAAAACATCGTGAGGAAACCGACATGTCTTAGACCCAAAAAGTCGACGGCATGTGTCAGGCACAGGATCACCTACTTGCCTATTAGATTGAAAATTGATCATGAAACAGATTGAGAAATCTGAGGCCCAGAACTATTGAGGTTGTAGCGCCACTGATTTATTTATTATTTTATACCACCAATAAAATCGTGTTTTAGAATCGAAGTATTATTATAGATAAGATTTCTTTGTAGTATTAATAGACAAGTAGGTGGTCAGCCTTTTTGCCACACGCCCGTTGACTTTTTGGCCCTAGGCATGTCTCACGATGTTTTCCTTCACCGTACAAGCAAGTGTAAAATGTCCATTGGTGTACTGTAGATGGAACTTACGATCTTAGGGTTAAGACTTGCACCGTGAAACCTAGGCTGTTGATTATAATCAATAATTCGAATAAAAAAGGTCAAAAAACACATTCCTTTACTTGAACTTACTGAGTTTTATTACTGACTGTACATATCTGGAGAGGTCGGTGGTCTCGTGGCGAACCGAGGCCGAATTATAAAATTGCCACACGTGACTTTTCCTGTGTGTCTTCCATTGCTCTCGTATCAAGGATCACAAAATTAGATCACACCTCTTTGTTTTGTAAACGAGTAATGTATTGTGATATTGAGATTTTTGGATAACTGCTGTTTTGCGAACGTAGCGGTAACTTTAGCGTGTTTTTGTATATTTTGTGTTTACATTTTTTCTAGGACAATGCTAATGTTTGTATGGGCTAGAATGTTTATTATAGAGGTCTAAGCTCGGTTTGTTGATTCAGAAACGACTTTATCACTTTTGAACTTCGTTCTTTCCTAGAGATTTTTAGAAGATATTTCTGGTATCTATCAATCTATCAAGAATTTATTTGTAGATAGAAAATGTAGATTGAACACCCAAAGGGAGTGGGGGCCACAATTGCGTCATTTTTATTGATATTTTTTCTTTAATACATATACATGTCATACGACATTTGGGGCTAAAATGTATCGGTTTTAATCTTTTCCATCTCCAGACAGAGAGCAGAATGTACGGCCGAAATCGCGTAATTAACTGCTTATACTTTTTTGTAGATTTTATAATTTAGTATTGTATAATTCTAGTGATACATTAAATTTTATATTTTTTTGTCAATTATTTATGCCTGGAAGAAATCTCTTGTTAGGGCTAAGTCGTGGCAAGTAATTTACGTAACCTCGTTTTCTACGTATACGTTTAAGGTAACGAAGTGGAAATAAATATATTCAACATCAACCCTAGTTTATCCATTTAGCCTACAAAATGTATTCCTAAAGTCACATTCCCAGTTGTAGTAGGCCACGTGAATGGTCATTGCGTCATATTATGAAAATTTTTATGCATGCACAATGTATATACTACATAATCGGCCAGCCACACGTCCGATTATGCATTCAACCGAGGGTGATATTCTCTCTATAATCGAAACCCAGCTTATACAACAGATCAAACACACTACGCAAATAATACGTGAAAAGATTATTATAATATCTGGCTGTTAGTTTCAGTTCTGAGAAGTGCAGAAGTCGTGCTTTAATTTTTGACGCCCTCGCTTGCAGAAATTATACCTAAAATGCCTTTCAGAATTCATAAATTGGTTATTGTATAGCTAAGACAAGATCTCCAAAAATAACAACAAATAAAAATAGACAGCATAAACACAGAATACTTAATTCATTTGACAGTGTTACGTGACCTATTTACTTATTAAACATAATAGGGGATTCAAGGGCTTCTCATTGTGTAAGGGCGCACAGAAACTGCTTTATAGAACAATATTCGTAACAATAACATTGTTATTGATTATACTTTACAGCAGATTATTAGAGGCTGTCTAAAAATTTTAGCCGCAAAAATATAACATAACAATTTTGAGATTAACAGACGATATTTTCATACAACAGATAACGTAAAACTTTATTAACTAGTAAAATCACCTTGATTACTAGCTAATAATGTACTATTATAAACAACGTGTCAATAACATTCCTGTGTTCATTACAACACTACTGACCTCTGTCATGAGTAAGGAAACAAAATGGCCGCCATAGATTCCAAAAACAACAAACAACGGTGTGAAAAAGCCCTTCACGTTCTACGTTCTAAAAACAGTTTGTATATTCCCGGATTTCATTGAATATTTAAGATGCTTTAACTCGTGCGGACCACTACAAAAAATACCTTTTATACAATTGAAAACAAAATATACTCTATAAAAATTCTTCGATATTTTTCCATAAATATTTGTGAAATGGTCATAAAGCCATTTTTATCAGGTAAATAAAAGTTTATTTTAAACGTGTGGCACTATCAATAAATGAACGTTATGTATGGAATTGTAAGTTCTAATTCGAAACGATCATGTTTCGGTAAAATATTGTGTTTATTTAAAAATCTATATATATAAAAAAATTATGTTGGTTTGTGTACGTTTCAAAAACTCAAAAAGTTCTGAAATTTTAGCATGGTATATAGTCCGCATCAAGGATTGTTTTTATCAATTTTTTTTTCTTTTTTTTGGTTTTTTTATGTTTCATAATTTTTTTCCACAAATATTGCAAAATTAAACTTATGTGTGTTCTCTTTGTTTTGTTTCTCATTTCTCAATTATTCAATCACAATGTGCCACAGCAAAGCGTAGCAGGGAACAGCTAGTAGACTAGTTACAGTTTTTAAACAACCCTACTTATATAGGGGTTAAAAAAATCCATGCCAATCCGTACTTCTTAAAATTGATTATTGTGTCGTATTTTAGGCATATGATATTTAAAAGTAGCTCACACCGACTGCAAGAGAATGCAAGCGACCCTCTATTAATTAAATGGGATAATGAAAGTATGTCATCGTCAACAAAAGAGTCTGTTTGGACGTAACGGGGTTGCCGTATTTCATTGTGTTTTATCAGGACAATATTTTGAAAAAGCTTTCAACTTTAATGAGTTCTAGTTTTGCAAGGAAAGATGCATTAAAGGCATTAAAGTGATCTTACTTATTCAGATTTAACACACAACAGATTAATTAACACATTTCAGTGACTTAATTAGAGATTTACACAAATTTAGAGCTTAAAATTAAAAAAATAGGATAACAACAAAATTCTTTTTGCAGTAGTTTTTGCATAATTAATTTTAACGAACATTAATTTTGCTGGTACTTTAATTACTACTTACTTGCTGTTCTAATGGAAAAAAATTGTTACTTCGAGACTTCTACTTGTGAAACAATAATTGTTTCAAACAGAAGGCTGCTAATCTAAAATATCTAAACTTCTGAGTTTCCAGACTTCTCAAGCTTGATTACGTGACATAGACATAGGCTAGATCGGGGCTAGGCCTTGATTGACCTAGAAAGGTATAATAATGGCAAACATGCATTAGCAGCTTCTGATAAAACTTATATCCAAACAGTTATTTGGACATTTTCCTGTATCGTAATTCGCAAACAGGTAAATAAACCGTTGATGTTTTGAAATCGGGTCAGGAAGCGTGGCGCGAGCCAAGCCGCTCAATGTATTACGGTTACCTTCTACACGAAATTATATTATTTGAAGTGGTAATTACATAAACACTGTCATAGTAGCAACAGTAGTGGTACGATCATTCAATATTGAAATTGGAATCTTAATGAGGAAGTTTTCTGGTACACTTAGGAATGTTACGGTACTTTGTATATTTTTAGTTCAAGTAACTTTGCGGCAGTCTTCCTGCAATTGTTTTTCGTTACAACAAAAACATTTGTTTATAGTTGTCAACATAAAAACCCAAGGCGGTTACGCTTCGCTAATTTGATTAACAGATGATCAAGACGAAACGATAAAAAACTAATTGTCAATTGGCTTTTTATGAGATTCTTAATAGATTGAAGAAATGGAAAAACAGTTTACGTAATAAGGAAATCATTTCTAGATTGGGCTTTTTCTTAAACAGTGCGAATAATCATGAGGTTAAAATGATTCCATTTGTCTTCATGTGAGACTTGGACGCAGGAGAAATTATTAGTAGCTGAAAGAAAAGCTTTGCAGAAGATCGTAGGCCCGATAAAGAAGATAGGAGCTGGAGACCTGATAGACGAAGCTAACATAATTGGTAAAGCCAAGGCCGCCGGCCGTCCCCTCGGCAGATATCGCTGGAAAGACGCCTTGGAGAAGGACCTATGCGAGCTCCAAGTGCCCGATTGGCAAGCAGTAGAGCGCGATCTACAAAGATGGCGTTCCCTAGTTTCGGAGGCCAAGGCTCGCATTTGGTTGCCTTGCCAGCAGAGTAAGTAATGGCTATTTTAAGTTTAATTAAATACCTGCAATAAACAAAGTTTATTTTGTATCTTGATACTTTTTTATGTTGTTTTTTCTAATAGTGTTGATACACCTTGATACTTCGTGTTGTTCCCATAGTAGTGTAAGTGCATGCTCCTATTTCGTCGTATGCTCATAGAGATGAAAGGTTTGGTATTCTTATTTATCTATTTTTCATTACAAAAATTAACTGCTTCAACATTTGATGATGATGTAATGGTTGCAGGTGCTTACAAAAATTTTGTAACAAATAAATAAAAGTGTTTAAAAGGAGATTTAGAGAGGTTGTTCTCATCTATTCTACGACTTTCATTTGAGAATTGCCCTGCGATTCTGTAACTCACTTTTCGAACTCACACAGCGGTTTTCGCATCGGCGGTCGCTCTCAAATCAGTCGTGAAGCAGTCATTTTATGATTTGGCTGAGGTGGGAGTTTTTAGTTTATTGTGTGTGTGTTGTGTGAGTTCGAAAAGTGAGTTACAGAATCGCTGGGCTGGCAGGAAATGTGAATTTAGAAGTATATTTTTTTTAATGAACTTCGTAAGTGTACATTGAGTTACCTACATGAATAAGTGATATTTTGATTTGAACATGTTAAACATGGGCTGAACTACCGTTCGTCTCATAGGGTGTCCCACTATCAGTCAGTATAAGTTGGTAAAGTTTTAGGTATATGATACATAGGTATTTCTGATTTCCTTCTACAAATGTAATCCTTAATTAATTTTAACTTTTTTTTCTAATTAGTGGCTTAGTGGTTAAGCGCTCTTCTCTTCACTCAGGTGATCCATCTATGATTTTTTCTTTCCAGTTTCAAAATGATTACAACACTATTGTATTTATTCTATATTAATAATTTAATCTATGTACCTACATAAAATTCTCGTATCACAGTGTTCGTTCCCATACTCGGCTCGACCGATTCTTATAATTTTTTTTATACATTCAGTAAGTCTGAGAATCGGCTACTATTTACCTTTCAAACCCCTAAGTGATAATGATAAGGGGTATCTTCCCAAAATTTTTTGTTTAAATTTTTTATGATATAACATACAAAATTACATACAACCCTTAAAACGATTTACTTGACCTCTGAGGTTTATATATAGAGAAAAATTCACTTAACAACCTAAAAAAATTTCATTCCGGAAAACCGTACTTTCTCTGGGATAGCATAGCACAATGTTCCTTCCATGTTATAATAATAATAATAATAATAAAGCCTTTAATCAGATAGAAAATAATAACATAATTTTAAACTTAAACTTAACACTAGTGAGTCGGTGACACCGACAACCCATCTGTTTGCCCAACTTTGGCAAAGGCCTCCTCCATTTCTCTCCACTCTGCTCTGTTCTGAGCTTTCCTGGTCCAAATTTTCCCAGTTACGGATTTTATTTCGTCTTCCCATCTTCGAAACTGTCTACCTCGTTTTCTTTTATTATTTCTTGGGTACCAATATATGATCTTTTTGTTCCACTTTTCTATACCTCTTATTACGTGACCAGCCCATTTCCATTTCAATCTTCGTATCCTCGTTGTGACGTCTTCAATCTTCGTGTGGTTTCGTATGATTTTATTATTGATTCTGTCGGACTTCCTGATATTTAGCATGCTTCTTTCCATCGCCGTCTGGCATGTCTTCAATTGCCTGGTTTGCATTTTAGTGAGTGCCCAAGTTTGGCAGCCGTATGTTAATACCGGAAGTATGCAAGTGTTATACAGCTTTGATTTGACATTTATTTTTATTTCTGTGTTTTTCATGATTTCGCTAAGCCCCCAGTAACATTTCCACGCTTTCCCAATTCTTGTATCAATTTCCTTCGACATTATACCAGTGGTTGAGATCTGTTGGCCCAGGTATGTGTACTCTTTCACATAATCAATTGACTCTCCATTTACTATAATAATATCTTCTGATGCATTCGTCATGGCTTTAGTTTTTGAGGTGTTCATTGTTAGCCCTACCTTGCGGCTTTTCCTCTCCAGGTCTGTAATCATAATTCTTAGATGCTCTTTGTTTGTAGCAAATAGTATGATGTCATCGGCGAATCGTAGGTGTGTTAGTTGTTCCCCGTTTATGTTTAGTCCGTACCCATCCCATTTTAATTCTCTGAAGATGTCTTCTAGTACAGCTGTGAATAATTTAGGTGATAGGGGGTCTCCTTGACGTACACCTCTATTTATTTTGATTTCTTTTCCTACTTTTTCTAGTTTTATTCTAGCGGTACTATTCGTGTATATATTTTTTAATATTCTGATGTACTTTGGGTCGACTCCTTGATTTTTGAGGCAGTGCCAGATATTTTCGTGCTCTATTGAGTCGAATGCCTTGTTGTAGTCTATGAAGCAACAATAGAACGGCACATTGAATTCTTTGGTTTTCTCAAATATTTGTCTTACCGTAAGTATATGGTCTAATGTTGAATATCCCGCCCTGAAACCAGCCTGCTCTATAGGTTGATTTTCGTCCAGATTTCTGGTTATTCGCCGCAAAATTACTTTCGCAAAGACTTTATAGATGTTTGACATTAAGCTTATCGGCCTATAATTGTTCATGTCACTCCTGTCACCTTTTTTGTGGAGGAGGATGATCGTTGATGTGGTCCACTGTAACGGAATTTGTTCAGTGCTCAGTATATCGTTAAAGATGTATTTTAGTAGTGGGGATATCTCTTTTTTGCAGACTTGAAGCATATCATTATTGATCCCGTCAGGGCCGGAAGCTTTATCCTTCTTCTGGGATTCAATTGCTTTGTTTATTTCTGCTTCTATTATATGAGGAACATTATCGTTGCTAGTTAAGTCTATATTGTAAGTATGATATTTGCTGGAGTAAAGGTTCTCATAGAATTTTGTGGCTATTGATAAAATATCCGATCTGATAGTCCTTGTCTTGCAAAATTGGTCTTTCATATTAGGTATCCACTTTGTATTGTCAGATAAGAGCTTAAGAGCCTTTTTTATGCCACCCGTCTTGATAATATGTTTTTCAAAAGTGTCACGTCTAAGACGTTCTCTGTCTCTTCTCATTTGGCTCTTAATTTCTTTGCTAGTTTTTCCTATTTGTTCTCTGATAGATTTTGTTTTGTAAGTCATTTTAATTAATTTTGATCTTTTTTCTATGAGGTCTTTTGCTTTAGCTGATATGTGGCCATTATCCTGTGATTTGGTTTTAGACGTGGTTTTCGATCTTGCTGTTAGTATCTCGTGTATTATGTTGTATTTCTCTTGAGTTTTTAGGTGCTCGAGCGATGATACCTGCACGGACTTGAGGTTTTCTTTTATGTTGGCAATACTAGTGTTGCTGCACATTGTGGATGTTTTAATTTTGAAGGGTCGACATAACTTCAAACTAAATGATGCGTTTAAACACGCTCTAAGCATTCTATGGTTACTGTTGAAGTTAAGGGTAGAGATGGTGCCACAGTCGTCGATTGATTTGGGTCTGTTCGTTAAAAAGTAGTCTATTTCATTTTTGTATCGACCATCTGGTGATATCCATGTCCATCTTCTGGAAGCTCTTTTTTTGAATACACTATTCATTATTTTCATATTATTTTCAAATGCCATTTCCATCATCTTTTGCCCGTTTCGTGTTCGTTTTCCAGTACTGTAAGGACCTAGTACGACATCTTCACCGTTTCTTGGGGTTCCAACACGTGCATTGAAATCGCCCATTATAATGCAGTTTTTGTGTGTGTGTTCTTTTAGGGCGGTGTTAAGGGATGAGTAGAAAAGGTCGATCTCTGAACTCGTTGATTGCTCAGTTGGTGAATATATTTGCACTATAGACCATGTTTCTCTGCCTGGAGGGATTCTAACATTCAATATAGCGATCCTTTCTGATATGCCGATTATTTCCACTATAGAGTTTTTGAGTTCTTTCTTGATCAGGAAACCTACTCCATGTCTTCCTGGAGTTTCACCTTTATAATATAATATGACTTCATCGTATTCCTGAATTGATTCGCCAATCCTTCTTACTTCGCTCAGGCCTATAATGTCCCACTTAATATTTTTGATAGAATATAGAAGTTCTTTAAGGCTTTCTTCAGACTTTAGGGATAATGTGTTGAATGTGGCTATATATATTTGTTTGGTATAAAATTGTTTCTCAGTTGCACAAGTATTCGTTTTAGGTGTGGGAGTGGGAGTAGTATTTGGAGGGTAATGGTCGCTTTCCCCCACGGTGACCAACCGTCTTGGGGTGATTGCTTTCAATGTTTCTTTGGCTAAGTGTGTTTCTATTGTTGGGTTGGGTTTCCTGTTGTTGTCGGCGTCTGTTGAGCGTTTTTTGATGTTGATGGTGAAGGTAGTGACAGTGATCTACCACGTGCTACGTAGTCTAGCATGCAAGTTTTATTAATCTTCTTTGGGCCCGCAGTACGTGTGTAAGTTGGGGATTTGCTTGGGGAGTTAGTGGAGTCTCTTTTTCTCTTATCTCTTTTGTCCTCTTTCGGTTCTTTCACAACTATTTTATCCTTGAAAAAGTAACAAATTTTTCCCATTGCTCGTTCCTCCTTTAGTTGAGGCAGAAGTTGTTTCCTCTTTTCCAAGGTTTCCTTGCTAAGGTCCTCCTTAATATAGATATCAGAATCTAATTTCTTTTTGTTCCTAAGTACTTCGTTTCTTCTCCAGTTTGTTGTAAACATTACAAGGATAGGACGCGGTTTGTTGCCTTTTTTTTCTCCTAGTCGATAAGCTTTATTTATTTCATTCGAGTTAAGATGAAGATTCATGTTTTCTTCAAGTCCTTTTTTATGACTTCGATTGGAGACTCCATGCGCTGTTCCTCTTTTATACCAAAGAAGATTATGTTGTTTCCCTTCCTGTATTCTTCCATCGACTTAATTTTGTCTTGTAAGATTTTTACTTCAGTCTTCAGGCTTTTGTTTTCTTCCACAAGAGCAGACAATTTTTCGTTAATATTCTCTGACACGTTTCTAGTGACAGCTTCGGTTATTGCCTTTGTT